AATTAAGCTCAGTTCAGGCTCACATCCCAGGGAGATTTTACTTCCCACATCTTCTGTAGCTGTCAACTACTCTGCAATCTTCAATACTTAGTTGTTTATAGTCACTCCAAACAAAAATGAGAATATGTTTTATCTACTGAAATAAACTACTGCCATGTTTAAATGTTGTTTAAAGGTTGTTTCTGGCAGGACTCTGACAGATCAACCCCAAGTTAAGCCTCTCTTCTGCAAGGTGCAAAGGTTTTTGCAAAAGTAGAGGCAGCAACATAAATGTCTCTGAAAGCTTCAGCAGAACAGGGCAGAGTGCAATTTCCACAGTCATCAGCTGCAGCAATAACTCTGCAGTCTTCTTCAGGTATTACTTTTCTCTGCAACTTTCAGACCACCTACCTTTCCACTAAAAATTAGTCTTTTAAAAACCCTCTGTTACAACAAACTGACCTTCCAGGACTTCTTTTGACACAACCGGTCTGAGTATTTGCACATGTCCAATCATCCAAATATTGCAATGCCTCTTTCTCACCTCACTTGTTATGGTTTTCCCTGCTTCAGGTGAAAAACTGAGACACGGGGAAAACATAAGTGACATGCGCAAGGTCCTACTGTAAATCCATTAAGGAGAGAAACTGAAGCAAAGGTCTGCAGCTCCTGGGCTAGAGATGCTACGGCTGGATCACCCAACCTCTCTCAAAGCATACATAAGGGAAAGATAGGATTGAAAGCTGCCAGGAAAACATAAAAATGACCACAAGGAGAAAAGACCTGCATAGCCTTAATAACACGACTCTTGTAACTGTCTCAAATAGGCGACACTGAACATGTAACTTTCACTTTTATCTATCAATAACCATAAAATTATTTCCTGCAGTTCCAATGTCAAAACAGGCACGCTTGACTCAAAACACTTCCAAATGCAAACATTCTGCCCACCAAAAAAAACAAAAGCAAATGAACACTAAAAAAGGAGTGAAAGATGTGACCACAATAAGTAGAAAACTAATAATTTTCCAGACCTAACAAAAACTGCACAAAGGTGGGACTCCAGACAGCAGGATCATGCTTTTTTCGATCTTAAAAAACCCCACCTTTTTAAGTCTTACCAACCACAGTAAGGAAATCTAGAAGAACAAAACAGCAACATTGAAAGCAGATTTTTCTGCAGATTACAGTGCAGTCCTACTGGTTTATGCAGAAAAGAAGATCATAATGTTCTGTTCCTTAAACTGATCTGTGGTTAAACTGCGATTTCTGTGGAACCATGAAAATCATAGGCAGACTCTGCTAAAAATGCTTTGTAGCTGCCTAGTCACATACAGAGAACTGCCAAAAATTTGGCATCAGTATTTTTATCTCTCGAAGTGCAAAACGTGGCTCGCAGAACTTTTTCACCACCGGCAGAGCAAACAGAATAGATTAGACAGACACCACTAGGTCACTGGCACAGTAACTAGGACTGGAAAAAAGAAACTTTTGCAGCTTTATAAATGGCCTTGTTAACATCCTCTTTCCAGACCAGCTATGCAAAACAGGAAGGAATTATAAATCTTTAAAAACACATGCCCAGTTAATAGTGTCATATGCCCAACAGTAACAGCATTCAGCTGTCACCTCCTAGACTCTGTCCCAAAATGTACAGGGTTGCTGACTCTGAGGATGACAATGCCTGGCAATAACACATATGCTTAATACTGAAAGGAAAAAAAAGTCCCTTTTTTGTTGCTTTCCATTTTGTTTCTTTCATTCACTCTCCCCTACTGGATATTGTTTTTGTCTCTCAATCTTTCCAGTGTGTTTTCTTTCAATGAAAAAAAGTCTTTTTTTTTTTTTTTTCTTTTTTCTCTTATGAACACAAAACAGATCTCTAACAGTTTCCAGGGGAAACAGAGGAAGGGGGAAGAAGACTGGCAGGGGGGGGCAGGAAATGAACTCAGGAGTCTCCATACCACCCCCCATGCAGCCTGGTCTAGCATCCTGTTGTGCCCCATAGTTTACTCCTATTCCTTCAATTCTTGAATATGGCAAACCCAAAAACCATTGTCTGTAGTTCACACGGCTTCTTATTGGCCCATACCCACCACGACACTCACAGGGGTGGGACCCCAGGGGCTCTTCAGCGGTACAGGAGGATGAGGAGCCTCTAGCACACAAAATTGAACTACAAGGCTCAAATGGTGCCTAAGGCAGCCAGGTGAAGAAGACAGGGAGCAAGGAGAGCCAGTACCCTCCTACCAGCTCTTGTGAATGCCCCTGCAGAGATACTCCCAAAAGATGTTGGGTGTGGAGAAAGAGCCAGAACGATCACTATGCTTGAAAAGGCAGGCTGGGGAAGAAGACAGAGAGCAGAAACAGCAGAGCCCTTCCAGGAGCCACTGCTTCTTTAAAGGTCCCTTCCAACCTAAACCATTCCATGATGAGACTGATTTTTTTTTGGTAAAGGTTTCTAAAAGCAAGAACCACATGAAAAAATAAGTGAGAAGCAGAAGTGGGGGAATTTGTACCCATTCAAAGAGCATTCACATTCTCGCTCTCAGAAGTCCTCTGATTTATGCATCCAACTTCCCAGTGAGATTCCAGAGTTTGCTTGTTTCTATTCATTTTTCTTCACTTGAACCCCCTTAGCTGCTTTCCCTCTTCCTCTCCCCCACTGACAACCATTTTCATTTCTCTCCTTATCCCCTACTGTGTGCTTTTCCTGACAAAAACATCACCATTTAAGAACATTGCCAAGCAAACAATTTTTTAAAAAGTAGTTTAAAACAATCCGGGCTAATAAAACTATGATATTTAGTAATATGGTTATATGAGTCAGGTTAGAACATATATTGATTTTTACATGAAAATAAACCATTAAAATCAACTTAAGTCAATTTATAAATTTCTGGTTGTCACCAAACTCTATTTCCAGCCTTCTCCATCCCTCCCTACTTCCACTTCTTAATGCACACCCCACTCACTCCCCAGCCTGCACTTCAGCCCCACCAGATCTCACACATGGTGCTGACTGGAAGCCCCGCTGAGGTCAATGGCAAAATCCCATCACATGTCTATGTTACGAGCTCTTCAGCCAACTTGAGTACGCAACTGGGAGATGGGCAAGGAGAGCCTACGGTGCAGCCAGCAGCGAGCCCATGCTCCAGTCCTTACACAGAGTAATCAAGTTCTCAGTTACAATGACTTACTTCTAAAACAAGCAGAACAAATTTCACTGCAGCTTCTCCACAAACAAGTCAACTTCTTAAATGTACTACAAGGTAATTAGAATTTAGGGAAGAGAGAGAGGGTTGGTTCTTTTTCAGAGAAGAGGTACAACAGGGAATTTTTCTTAGTTTAGTACAAGCTGAGCCTGTGCTCAGGACAAAGGGTATTTATGTACATGCATATAGGTACAGTCATATGTATATATACACATTTATATCCATATTCATAATTTTACTTTATGCATACATAGGATGCCTAAGAAAATATATTTAAATCAAATTTTAAGCACCTAAATCTTGTACCAAGTTGTATGCAAATTCACCTTTTTTTTTTACCCAAAAGCTTCGCTAAGAATCTACACCCTACCACTCCTAACTAGCAGTATGAACCACAGCCAAAGTTGCTTGCTTGTTCCCTGCAGAGGACTCAGGATCTGCTGCAGCTGCCCATCCAAGCATCAGAGAAGAGACTGAGCTGGTCTGAAGCCAGAGGGCCTGGTTCCTGTTCCAGCTTTCACCAGCAGCACTGTGCAAATGATGCCTTAGAAGGAAAAGGCATTTCAAGGGTAAGAAAAAGAAATATCAGCTATCATTTCAGGGTGGAGAACTTCCACTCTAACAGCTTTTAAGCTACCTTATGTTCCCTCCAGATGGTATAACTGGAGCAGATACTGGAGCAGATGTGGCTTCAGATTAGCAAACCATAATCACTCCCCAATGGCTCCACACCCTCCTACACTGAGACACAGTCCAAAAATTTGGTCTTGCTTGACAAAACAGATTTGATCATATGGGCACACATCTCATGTCTGTGCACTGCATTTTTTTGTGCAACGAAAGGACTGCTACACTGTCCTATGCTCAAAAGCACTGAAGTCGGGATAACTGTGAATACTTTTGCTACTACTGCAAATTTTCTTATGCAGCTCCTGTATTCCTTGGATGGGAGAGTGAGACAAACACGATTAAACGGTTGAAGTACAGTCATTTGGCATAACAATGACTAGAAAAATAGGTAACTAGAGGATGATTTTAATGAGAGATTATTAAAATAACTGCCAGCTTCTTACCTTACAACCGTGTCTCTGAGTTTACGCCAGCTCATTTTCCTCTAACATACACCGCTCCCATATCCCCTTCTTTTCCACACACAGAGCGACTCTTCATTTTGCAGCCAGCAAAGTTTGCACATGGACCGTCTGAATGCCACCATCTGGGCTGCTGTCTCTGAGCTCAGCGCTGGACCAGAGGCAAGTGATGCCAGCCTGGCGTCCTCTGCCTGGCACAGCAGCTTCCAGCGGCAGAGCTTAGTTACTCGTTGTCTTTTCTGCCTTGCTGTGCTTTGCACCAGCCCATGTTTGCACGTTTTTCTTGGAGCTGTCCCTGAACTTGAAAATACTCACCTTTCCATTTGAGTTTCAGTCTCCAAATGTACTGTCTAGTGCAACTGGCTATATGCTCCTACCAGTCCCACAGCGGCACCTAAACATTTCTACACGCTTCATGTAATCTTCAGTCACATATGTTGGCTCTATCAGAAATTATTTTTAAGATTGTTGTTCCTACAACAATTAATATACTACTGAAAAATCCTAGGGTATCATGATGCTGTTAGATACACCATTTGCCTATACTAGAGGCATTTTGAAAGAGGTTCCCTCTCTGATATAAGTATAACTGATTGATCTTTTGCCAAGCTAGGCTGCAATGTCAATGACCTTCACCTCTTTTAAAGAAATTGCTTCATGTGTATTTGGCACCACAGTAGCTTTTAGGGAGTCAAAATGATTAACTATTTCTTACCTATGCCCAACAGGACACGATCTTCATTTTCTTTAGAAGGAACAACACTGTCTTGGAAAGGCTAGAAACAGAAAACTTGAGCTATATCTTTGAAGACAAATAGTTGCATTTGTGCTTAGTTGCAAGCTGTACTATAGGCTTTCAGAATTCAGTTCAAACACTATCAAGCAGCAGTCACTTCATTTTGGTCATTTTAATAAATGCAACAGATACAGCATGCCACTCCCAGACTCTAAAGATAAGCACATGAATCCTATGGACTCAAGCTCTAAACATAATAGAAGAAGAGACCATGCCGTATCTCACTTTCCATGCAAATTCCAGTTTTCAGCCTGCTCTTCTCTTACAAAGTTTAACTGTGCTCTGACTAGCCAATATACAGTGTTTTGGGGGAAAGAGCAATACATTTCTAAGATGTCTCCTTCTCTGATACCTGAGCTGTTCACACCTGTAGAAATATCACAGGTCAGTTCATTATTCTTTATAGAATCAACGATGGCCTTTCTGCTAGATCAAAACATGAGACAGTTGATATGGTACCAGAACCCTTTTCCCCCAGCAAGACTCATGAGCTGCAGCACTCTGCCCCAACATACACTTTCAACATAGACTCCAAAATGCAGGCACACTACAGAGTTATAATTCTGAGGTGACATAGATTACAATAGCAACATGTGAATCCCAAACACATGGTCAATCTTCTGCACAGCTGGCAATTAAAAAAAAAAAAAAAAAAACCCACAAAAGAGGGAATCACTTTTATAATAATGACCTAACAAAAGTGGCAGTCCAACAACATTCCACTAAATTCAAATGTTATTAAAAAAATCAATAGTCATTGGCTACGGAGAAGATACCACCTTTAACAGATTTGCCAGATATTACCAGATTTTGTTTCTCTCAACTTAAATGACTATTTTAGCTTTATAGCCAGTTGAACTAATAATCAAGCTCCCGCTTTAAAAGGTGATAAAAAAAAACCCACCACTAAGACAAAGATTATCTGGTTTTGTAAACAGATACATATAAATAAAAAGCGGAATATAAGACTAGAGATCAATTACAACTGACTAACCATAGTGGGACTTCTCACAAATATTGCTCTCCCCCAAAAGCTGTTAGATATCTCCATGTAGAAGACAATGAGACCTGCCGTTTTTTACATCAAGCATCCTTCCCAGTTAAGGCCAGTTATGGATTCGCAGTTACCCCCAAGGTCTCTCTCGGAGACTAGCTCCTCAGGCATGATGATTCATGCCATCTCAAGGATGAAGCTTGTGCAAGACAGGTTGCGCTCCCCTCAGACTGGCAGCTGATCTGCAAGCTCCCTGAAGGCACTGAGGTTCACCATAAACACAAGAGCTCTCTGGTCCAAAAGCAGAGCTTGCTTCTCCAACCCAGCTCTCCAGCCCACAACCATGTAATAGGTTCCTTCAAATAATGATAATAATCATATATACGTGTAACAATTCCCACAGGATAGGAACAGGCAGGAAATGTTGTCTGGCAGGCATTAGCCACCTTACTTATTTGTTAGCTCTGGGAGGTGCTCAGATAGCCAAGGAGAGGCTGCTGCTTCTCAACCTAAACGAAGCTTAGCTATTTGTATAAGGAGAATTCTGTACCTTCACGTAATCCTGGGACAATTCGTCAGATGCCAAGTTCACAGGACCTGTAAAAGCAAAGATTCCTGTCTTTAATAGCAAGCAAAATTCAGTTTGGGTCCACTTTGGTTTCTGCAGCTGGTGTCTCTGCTTTTTCAAATAGGAGGGGGGACACAAGGAACAGGCAAACAGGCAGCGGAGGTACAACAATGGACATGGGCAGCCCATGCATGTCCCCACAGCAGCATTCCCGTGGGCAGCGTGTGAACTGGATGCACAACAAGTGCTATGTTATTGTCACAGTTATGTTCAGTCTAGGCAAGTACGGCGATTTGTCAGCCAGCTGCTGATCAACTCCCACATGCTCAGAAACTCAACAGTTCTAGCGCCATGCCTCACACCAACTCTGCAGAGCAGCTGGGTTCTGCTTTTCTTCTGCAGGGGTTTCATGAATTTTCTGAAATTAGACCTTGCATTTTCACCCCAAAAACTAAAAAAAAAAAAAAACACCACTTAATTTCTGTCACACTTTTTTTTTTTTTTTTATAGTTTCTTCCCAGGGAAGGACACAGCACATGCAAAACAATGACCACACTTTGCAAGTTTTGCCTGAACGCAGCCTCAAGGACTGTTGTGAAACAGAGTTATCTGGCTAGAGGAATGCAAATGAACACCAACATCACCTAAGCTTTCAGGAACATTATTATTTAGTAGATATATTTTAAATAATAATAATTATATAACCAGAGCTATGCTGGTAAACATTTCATTTTATCTTTCAACTCAAGGTTCACATCTGTTCTTAGATACACAAATGCGTCTACATTCTCCAGCTCCAGCAAATAGTTAAACTAAGTATGACTCAGAAGGCAGTATAGGGTGTTCTGGGGGACTGCTTTGAGGAATGTGAGCTTTTGGGACCTCTATCCTTCTTTGTCCTATCTTTGCACGAAGTCTATACTCCAGTTTTAGAAAAAAGAGCTGTATCAATATATCTTTGGAAAAACAATTCAAAGGCAGATGCCTGTTATCTAAATCACACCATCTTCAGCAACAACGACCCTACATAACCTGCAGGTCTCTGTGAGATGAAGTCCTGGGACGCAATTATGGGCCCGCACATGCAATCAGTGCGCCTGCTGTCCCTGACCTCAGCAGTGCCCCTGGACACTGGCAGGAGTCAGGACTGGATCCACGCTGATCGGTATCTCAATCATTAATTTTTATTTAATCCACCTTCTTTAATTAACCTTCTGCAACAGTCACATATACACCTCCCCTGGCATTCTAACAGAGTGCAATCACAGAGCACAAAATCACTAGGGCCATCAAACAAAGCATCCCAGGCATCAGCTTTCTGCTAGAAGAAACAGACTATTTCTTCTGTAACTGTAACTGCAGAAACTTACTTTAAAAGCGTCAGTGAGAAGGTATTTTTTACAGTATCGCCATGCAATTGGCATTACTATTCAGTTTCACAATTCGCAGAAACAAAAAGCTGTTTTCTGTATACCTAATATTCTGCAGAAGCAAATGGCTTATCCTCCAGATAATAGTATTCAGACAACTCATGGGCATGGAATTTCAAGGTCAGAAAACAAAAAAAGCACAAACTACTGAATCAGCCAAAATACCATCTATTTTACCTTTTGTTCTGCATCCTCACTGGATAATGTATCACTCCATGTATTTGAACTTAATTAAGTTGCTATGGGGAATTCACTGCTAAGCTAGTCGCATCGCCTTACACTGACCCACTGCTTTCGTATGATTGCATTTCACAAGAAACGTACTGCTATAGCAACCTCTACTTGATAATAGCTCAGGGCTTCTGATAGCATTGTGTTTTAAAGGTCTGTTGATCTTGACTTTAGGCCCACCCAGAAGTGAGTAGTTACTACTTCTTGGAATGGCAGCAGTTTTAAAATGTGAGGAGGAAACTTTCATGACATGAACGCACCAAATTAATGTCCTGAGCTTAGCAGCCACTTTATAAAGGAGTTCACTGAATGCAATTGAGAACATAGTAAAAATTACTCTGTAAATCATTTCATGTAATTTCTGCTTCTAGCAGCAACAATTTTAACTCAATCTTGAAAAAAGTTCTTTTGGTGTTCTGAATGCTGACAAATGGAGAGTGTAAGACAGGCTACTAGTCACCAGTAATGATCACTCATGATTTTTCAGTATCTGGATTCAGTGGTGGTTAGCAAAAAAGGCCAAAAAAAGGTCTCATTTATAGAAATATGGTAACCAATGACACTATCAAAATGCAAGAAGATTAAAAAGCTTTGCTGCCCATCAGTGTACAAACAACAGTTACAGGCTCCTCATGTCTACAAGTAGATTACACAGAGTGTTAGCACATACAAGTGTGATTACCACAATTTGTTTGAATAAATCCTGGATACTGCCAAAACATGGCATATTTTTCTTGCCGTTGAACTGAAATAAGTTTGGGGTTCATTGGTTTGTTTTTTTCAAACAGGCACGAAATAACTCTGATGCATGAAGGCACAGAAGTGTATAGCTTCCATTAAAAACACAAGAAGGTAGGTGTGCCTACGCAAATATTATGGCAAATATCTTTGGCATAAAGAGAGGACAAGAAGTTTTACAACCAGAATCCAAACTGGGACCAGACATCCTGGACTGGTGATTCTGTCTCCGGGCAATTAATATCCACTGATGTTCATTATCTGCTTGTCCCAAGTCAGCCTGAACTAAAATTGCTTTTAGTGGAACACATCAAAGTAATCATCACCTAGAAGTTGTACTGGACAACCTACTGCCACGTATAGTGCTACCAATCCAGGCCATTCACTGTCTATCCCCAAGGATCAGCGTAAAGATCACGGCACTCAGATGAATACCCAGAGTCAACGCATTTGCAGACTGCATCACCAAAGTCATTCACAAACCTTGCATGGTAAATTGCCACTTACACTTACAATAACACACGCATAGTTTGCAACTACTTATCATCTCTCTGCAAATTTACCTTCTAATAGCAGAGCACTTATTATCTGAACGCTGCTGGAGAAGTTGGGTACAAGACTCCTTTTCCAGCACTAACAACAGCAGCCTACATGTTTAAACACGAGATACACAAGGACTGTATCCCGATTTTATCCATTCACTTTAAAGTCACTAGCTGATGCCACCTGGAACTGCAGTCCCGTTTCTTTCCCACAGTCTGGTCCTGATCCTGTCGGTAGTTAATGCAGGCACTCGCACTTCTGCTGCCCTCAGTAGGGCTGTCTCCAGCACAGCCACTCAGCAAGACCAAGCCTCTCCCAGAGCTCACAGTTTTCAGCTTCTTGCTTCACCCAAACATACAGCACCAGCCACAGAAGCAAATGGTCAACGGATGAAAACTCTTGATTAATTCCTAACAGTGATACGTAAACGTCCAAAGTGTCACACTTCTGATGCTGAAGAATGACCCCTTTTTTTGTGATTTTCTTTTCAGCTCTAAGAGATGTTTGCTCCAAAGTACACCGGGATGTATTTTAGGAACAAAAGAGTGTTGCCATCAGCAAGCACAGTCCCACAATCCTTACAGAGGTAAATACTCACCAAAATATTGAATGTCTAATTGAAACACGTGGGAATTTTGCCACATTAAGAAGTCTGAGCTGGATCCCAAAACTATTCATACGAAAGGTTACTCTGCTCCTATTTTTATTAACTTAGTTATTTGGCTTTACTGGAATGTGCAGGCTGGAGCGTTCATTCAGTTAAACACTGCCCTCTCCTGGAACCTTCTGGCATTTTTCTGGCTCTTATAATAAAATTAGTTAAGGCTTTTCCAGTCACTGGAAATATTCCATAATATTTGGTGAACAATTTCAATCTGACATTGGAAAACTGATGCTTTGCAGGAAGTATCACGATTTACACAACTCTTGTAGTGCATGACTTGCATATTCCACTGTTGTCTACTTACAGGTCTCTAATGTCATATGAAGCATGGGATCTTCCTGAATAAATAAATAGTGTGTGAATAAATAAATCTATACCAACTTTCCAGAGCTTTTAAAGACTGCAACATTATGGAATAAAAAACTGTACCTTCTACAGAGCTTGTTGTATTGCAGGGTATTTTTGGACTTTCCACTGTCTCAACTTGGTTTGAATTAATACTCTACAAAAAAAAAAAAAAAAAATCAAAATGACAGTAACTGTATTTGATGCCCATGACATTTACCTGAAAACTCAAAAACAATATCAAAGACTAACAAACAATTATGTTATAAGCCACACTAAAATGACTGATAGAGATTCCACAGAGTATTATATCAGTTACCCTCCAGAGGAAACTGATAGCAACTCCTCAAAAGGGAAAACACTAAAATATTCTCAACTACAGAGAGAAATTACCTTCTGCTTACAATACACAAGGGATCTAAAGGATCAGATTTAGCATTCGTACTTCATTGTTTATAACCTCCTTCTCTATGAGAAAAGCAGCACAGCAGCTTTGCACAACAGCTCTGCTCAGAAGCCTGGTTAACCTTGAAAGCATCCCTATAAAGCAAGCAATTTTGATGGACAGGTGATACAAACAGCCTAAACCTGGACTGGAAGGCAGAAGCTGCTCCCTCTCTGCATCAGTGAACCCTGGTGGGCTGACCCCTCACTCAGATACACACAGCGACTATATCACTCCTGCTCAAAAGGAAGAGGGGACTATTATCGAGTCCCTTATTTTAGCAACTACCTTCAAAGACTTTATAAGCGGGGGCAGGGGGGCAGACAGAATATCTACTTCTGCATAATTTCATTTACAACTCTGCTTGCTTATAGTATTTCCCTCTAGTTAGATTGCCTTTGTATTGGCCATCTAACAGAGCAGCAAACAGAGAAAAGGCGTGGTAACCTGAATACCAAAGAAAAAGTCAGGCTGAATATTGCAGCCAAACTGATTTGAAAGCCACACAACTGCCAAGCTAGCTACATCTCCCACTTCAGTGGGGCTAGTTGCATTTTTATCTGCTCATCTGTCAGTGTGCAAGACACTTTCCTACTCCCACACCTACAAGGCAGAAATAAGTCAACTCCTTCTTGGGAAATTACCAAATCCGTCCACCACCAGGCAACAAAATCACTTAAATTATCATAAATTATCTTAATCACTTTGGATGATTATCCTGACATGGCCTTTCTCTTTTTTTACCACCCTGACATTATTTCACATGTGTCCACTAGTCCACGGATTTCTTTTCCTCTCAGAGAGGACCTCTCCCCTGCACTGGTTGTGCTGCCTCCAGCAACTGAGACAGCCAAACGGATCAATCACCTCCACACGCTGCTTTAGGGCTCTGCTGGAGGCACACAATGAACCACACGGCCTCACTGACGGGCACTGCTACCACCACAGCAATTTCTGCCCCAAGGAGGCTGCACAGAGCTCAACCAATTCCACACTCTTCCTCATCTTCTTGAGAAATCTCTCCTCTGTATAGCCTAGCACAGCCACAAAACCCATGGGTTTACACTTTTTGAACTGCAGAGCCCCTGCAGGTTTCCAGTGAAGGCATGGGTAAGTCTAGCCTACTGACAGCTTGTTTGTTTTAACTTTTCCATTACTCTGTTAGACTTGTAAGGAATAGTCAAGGGACTAAAAGATCCCACAGACCAGGGCCTGAAGAACATACTTGAGAAATACTGGGATTTTTTTATAAAAGCAAAAATAGTTTGTGCTGGTCCCTAAGTCATCCATTTAACACACACAAATCCAGCGCTGCATGGCACCATAGCTGAGACAAGCTCCTTCTCTTTAGTCACATCTTCTGACCCAAGCCTAAAATAGCAATGTGGTCATTTATGCAGTCTCGAGATACAATAAACTAGATGTACAGTCTAAGTCTGTTGTAGATGAGCTGAATATTCCAGTACAGCAATAAATTCTACATCTATCTTAAAAAGACTACGTATCTTGAAATCTGTAATGCCCACCTCATGCTTTGGATCTAACTAAGGGCTGCAAGTCCTCGTTTGCAACAGAAAGAAAATTAATTTTACCTTACCCTTTGGACAGTTTGATCATCCCCCACATACATTTCAGGATGATATCTGGTATATAGGAAACGAACTAAACCATGTGATCTTCCCAATTATTCTGGCTTATTTCTGCTTTATTAAAAGTAGTGGAACACTGATGCTGGGCAGGGAGGAAATAGGGTCCCCACAATGGAGGATCTAGACTGCTGCAACTAGAGGAATGAGCGAAAGGGAAGCCCACAAGTGAAAGGCAGTAGGCTTTTTCCTGAAAATACCAAGTGCAGAAATTGCAGCCTTTAAGCATCTCTGTCTCTGGGAGACATGCAAACATCTAACATACCACACTTTCTTTTTCCTTTTCAAAGACTGAAAGAAGAACAAGGATTTGATGAGCGCAAGAAAAAGCCAATGATATAAATAACAATGCATTCTTCATTACAGTCTTGGTTTAGCTATTGCATTTACTATTGTTTCCACAGGAAAACCACACACAAATTGTAGGTATTCTGTAAGCTACAAACACAGAATAACTTCTTTGTATTGGAACAGATCAAAATCTTGGCAGTGTAGTTACACAAGATTATACATAAGGGCTATACACTACATCACACCTTAAGTTTTTGTGTTAAACATAACACGTGGATCATATTCTAAGTTAAAAAAAACCATACAGAATGCAATAAAGATAATTCAAGGAAAATTAGTGTACAAATAAGAAAACCTAAAGTTAAGCTTAGAAAAGAAAAGCTGAATTTCAAGACCAGAAAAAGAGAAAAGCCTATTTTTAGTGTGGTTTTAGTTCACTAGTTTTATAGAGTCATGCAGTCTCAATCTAAAAACATGAGCACCTGCATTGCTATTAAAGAATGTGTGCTTTCAAGTGTTCTCCTCTTTACTTTACCGAAATTGAGAGATGTTCTGAAGAATATCACAGCAGTGCTCCAGACACCTTACAGTAAAATAAAATCCACTACACCATAACTAAAGTCTATAGCAAAAGTCTGTACTCTACTTCTGCTACAAATAATAGACTGAGGCTGGCTCTTGCTACAGGCTCCCAGGCATTACACTACTAGACAAAAGAATGGAACTAGATTAAATATTTTTGAAGAACCAATGTGAATACAATGGCAATACAATTAAAGACACAGAGATTTCAGGGAAAGATATTCACTGTAGAGTCCACAATGATTCAAAAACGACTTGGGAGTTAAAGAAGGCTTTGATAAAGTTCTCAGCATCTCTTATCCTGCAGCTTCACATGTACAATGTGCTACACTTACACAAAGTAGAAGCCCACAACATTAATCCTGCAATTACACTGGCCATTAGCGACACAGGCAGCTTAAACTTAAAGGGTACTCAAGAAAAACAAATACTGTCTGAAGAGTCTGTAGATGGAAATTATTGAAGAAAATCTGTGACAATGCCCTGAGCCAGGCAAGTACCTACCTGGTAAAGAAGAGGTCTGTCCCAGAAGTATTTTCTGAACAGCTTAATGTCTGACTCCAGCAAATGCTGCTCAGTGTGGCTAAATGTCAGCGTCAGAGCTCCTGATGAACGAACAAACTGCATGCAAGCACCCTCACTGATCTCTGCTCTTGAAATGTCAAGCGAGTGACTGCCCTGGAAACTAGAACGATACACTCTTTAAACCAAAGCACAGGTAGAACAAAAACATAGCTGCAGTGAGCTTCCTGCTCACTTTCAGCACAGCCCATCGGGATCCCAACGCACCCACTACAAAAAACAGAGGCAGAAAATCTGAAACATCCACCGAAAACACAGCTGGGCAAACAAGCACTTACCAGTGACTCCATTCAGGTCTAAGAACACACAGCTACTCTAGATGGTTACTCACTAGTAAAATTAGCCACAAAGAGCAAGCTGTGACAATACCTGTTTCTCCTTATTGCTGTACATTCGCAATAGTACCTTTTCCTGTTAATGTTGCCTTATATAGCAGTAGGACACGACTGGCAGCTATCAGGTTTGTTATCCCACAACAGTGAAAAACAGAAAGTATCCCAAGGGAATACAGTATTGTTTGGACGTTACAAACAAATGAGACATTCATAACATAATGTACTGCACCAGTGTTATAAGTATTTTTTTTTTTTTCAAACTGAAGTACAGATAAGTCTCACATAAACTATACACTGCAGGGAGCCAGAACCGAAAGAGCCGCATACCAAAATAAAAGTATAACCCAATTCTTGCAAATTTCTATTTGCAAAGAAAAGTCAAAAGTAAGAAGGGACATCTGATGCTAAACATTTGGTACCCCAAGACACCACACACCATGCAGCTCCTCAGGTCTGTGCTAGAAAGCACTTGTCGTTTAAGTCATTTGTCAGTGTGACAGCTCTCTGGCACAACAGTCACAGCTGCAGTGCTGGCTTTGCTGTTGACTCATCCTTATTCATTCAAATCTGACCTTTACAGAGGTCACAAAGTCTGCTGAGGTTTTGTGAAAGTCAGGTTCTGTGGTTCTGTTTATATCTAAGTATTTCTCTCTATATAAGGGATGACTTGACTTGTTGGCAATGTGTCAGGCTTCAGCTGCGATAGTGCTGGGAGAGGTACCTGATGGTGCAGTTGGTCCTCTGTCACTTAAATGACTATCAATTGACTTGCAAACATAATGAAGGGTGCAAATCATAAACTTCCTTTAACTGTAAATACAAGTTTACCACTTAAAATGGTAATAATGGAAAAAAAGCAACAGAAACCAACACAAAATAGGCAACTCTTTTAGGAAAAACAACAGTACTCTGCACATCCCTTAAATTATAGGAGTTTTTCAGAGGAAGCAGCAAACTGTTATACTCACTTTGTGAAGACCTCAACAAGTTCAGAGTGCCCGTTTTGTAAAGCCAAATCTAATGGCGTTGCTCCGTCCTCATTAGGTAATGCTAACGCTGATGACCCCCCAGGCTGGGCTGCTAAGAACTGTGAAAGCTTAACCAAGCCCAATTTCATCACAAGGTGGAGAAGAGTTTCTTTATGTTTAGGGTCTGAAAAAACACAGCAAACAAAAAAAATCATCAGTAACAAAACCCACTGTTGTATTTGCTAGGAAGCATCAACAGAAACTTATTATCACCTGCAGAAATATCACAGCTCAGGTTCAGACCTACAAAAGTACTTTGGCAAAAACCGTCTTTCACTGAAATCAGCAGAGTTAGATACTTAATTGCATCTGTCCAGCTAAACTAGGATACTCAACACCATCTAATTTCAGCAAAGAAAACAGTCAGAATCAGATAATCTCAGTATTTCTCTCTTTCTTTGTATAGTATAACATTCCGCACAAGAGATGCCCCAATATACTGCAGAAGATATTTAACAGGCAATTTTCCAGCTGCTTTGCATTGCCTCAGCAACACAAAACATCTGGCACCATGGCCAAGTATCTTATATAAATGAATAAATAAATAAATAAATAAGAGCGTAAGGATGCGATTTTTCAAGGCAGGCTGCTTATCAGCAAGGTAAGAGTACCCTAGAAGCACAGCAAGCCATAAGCTAACACACATGGGGGCAAAACACACAGGATAATTCTTGCATCTCTCTTTTCAGAAAGGTGATCTAACCTGCCAATACTTCCTCTCCACTAGCACAGCATCATCAAGCTCAATGGGATGAAGCTTAAAATAAAAGAGTACACAATGATGACTTAGTCACTAGATGCAGATTCTCCACTCAAGCCCTTCACTGGCCTTTATTCAAAGAAGGGTTTATCGGTTTACATGCATTCTCAAACACAAAGCCCCTGCAATTTACAGGCAATAAATAAAATTAAGCTCAAGTGCCACTCAACCTGTTCCTTACACTGATATTTTGGTATGAAGTTAAATATGAAGGTACTTTCACAAGAGTCAAGTATTTAAAGGCTGTTAACCTACAGCTCTCAGAACAACTGGCTGAAATCTATTAGGTTTCCAGTGATTTATGAAATTCCATTGAAATTTATCATCCTGGTTCAATGGACTTTTTCTTCCCTGTTACCCAACCAGTTCAGGACATGTTATTGAAAATTATACGCTCCAGTGGCAAAGCAAAGGTGAAGCTCCTGAAGAGAATGTAGGTACATGCACACATTTGTGTAAATAATACAGTTAAAACCAACAGCAAATTGCTGTCAAATTTCCTCTCTCCCTCAATATCTACAGGATAAAATTGTCTGATGCAAAGCAATCCCCAAGCAGAGACAGCAGTTTCAGAAACACTTACACATTGAGCAAAGGTATTGTGTAGTTACATACAAATACAGTGGTTCACGGCTGACTCCTACTCAGTTTAAGTACTCCCTCTGAAAGTGTCAGGAATATTTATTTTGTAGAATCATAAAAAAACAAACCACCAACCAAAAACCTTGAAGAGTCCTCACGAGCTCTCTAGTCCACTCATCGCCTTAAGGCAGAATCAGCTCAGCTTAAATTGCTCCTGACAGATGTTTCTCTCATCTGTTCTAAAAACTTTCCAACGATGAGAGGTTTTCATAACCTCCGGAGGCAATCTACACAAGGGATAATTTCACCCTCGCAGTTACAAAGATCTGAAATGCCTAGCCTAGCTCACCCTTTCTCAGATTAAACCTGCTGCTTCTTGTTCCATCCAAAACAGGCATGAAAAACACCTCACTCCTTTCCCCTCGCAGCTTCCTTTTACATAATTGAAGGCTGCTGTCATGTCTCAGCTGAGTACATCCTCTCCAGACATCTTAATAGGAGAGTTGACTTCTGCAAAGCTGGACCTTTTGGAAGCTCGTCTCAGAGCCCAGGGCCAAAATCATTAGCCTCCTTTGAAAACACTGGACCTGAAGTGTTTTAATATTAAAAAAAAAAACAAACCACCAACCAAATAAAAAAAAGCAACAAAATCAAACTGTATCTCCCCATCTCATAAAGCCAGAATGGCAAGGAACCTAAGGAACTCGCTCCACCACTCCATAGGGAAAATTACTGCAGGATCTCCACTGGTGATCACTTTTTGCTCTGAATATTTGGTGGCAACCCATCCAGACTTTTTACCTTTCCGTTTCAAGTGAAATCAAAACTTTCAGACAGAGCCAAATCCCAGAAAACCAGGTCAAGCTTCCTTCAATAAATGAAACAAGTTCCAGACATCAGAGTAAAAGGGAGCTTCAGGACACAGACTCTAGCACTATAACATACAGCAAACCTGGATGTACTGTCTGAAACCTTTATTTCACTGCAGTTCTAACAGAAGCAGACACATTAACAAGATGCAGGGGGGATTCTTTAAACCAGAATATCACTAAACATATACCCAATATGTACCTAAGTGTGTCTAGAATGCACATATAAAATGTCACATGTCATTATTTAGAAATAAAATTATCTTCAAACTTCCCTTTTACTTGTGCCTAGCCAACATATGATCTGGTGCATTAGCCTGCCCACGCAACACTTATTTTCTCCCCAGGTTTTGGGCAACAAAATTGTTTCTTGGTCTCCTCATTTCAGATTCTAAGCAAAAATGTGTCCATCTGGACACAGGATCTGCTGTGGGATCCTAGGCCATAAAGGAAAGCAGTAAACTATGGGGTTTTTCCCTCCAAGGGCTGCAAAATGTTTATAATTTCACTCTTTGGAGACAATGATCATTGCTGCATTTCAGTTACCAACATTAATCACTAATGGTATGGATTATAGTGTTTACATCTCTATTAAGTGAAATGGCATATAAGTTTCAAAGTTTTCAAGTACACACAACCTTTAAGTCCACTGAATCCAACTCAAGCATTTGCAGAACTGCTTTGCTAAACAGCAATATGGAACCACAGAATGACTGAGGTCAGAAGGCACCTTTAAAGATCATCTAGTCCAGCTGCCCTGCCACATGCAGGAACATCTTCCACCAGATCAGCTTGCCCAAAACCCCATCCAACCTGACTTTGAACACTTCCAGTAATGGGACATCCACAATGTCTCTAGGCAACCTGTTCCAGTGTCCCACCACTACCACCATAAAAAATTTATTCCTTATATCCAATCTAAATATACCCTCTTTCAGTTTAAAACTATTGCCCCTTTTTCTGTTGCTACAGACCCTGATAAAAAGTCTTTATCTGTCTTTCTTTAAAGCCCCCTTTAAATATTGAAAGACTGCAGTAAGGTGTCCCCAGAGCCTTCTCTTCACCAGGCTCATAGGAGAGGTGCTCCAGCCCTCTGATCATTTTCATGGCCCTCCTCTGGACCCACTCCAACAGGTCCAAGTCTTTCCCATGTAGGGGACCCCAGAGGTGGATGGGGGGGTCTCACGAGAGCAAAAAGTGAGTGAGTGACTGGCTAAAGTCAACCCACAGGGAATACAGAGGGATGAGAATCTGACTCCAAACCTCAGCCTCAAAGCCAAACCAAGCACTACTTATCGAACACCTTGATCTGCCTAGATCAGAGACCTTCTTCTACAGTGGAACTTTTAAATTGAGATGGGGTCAGGCTTCCCAAAACCTTTCCAGAGATAGTGGAAACGATGGCTGATGTGCCACTTCAAAAATGGTAGACCTCAGTTCAACTTCTTCCTCTAACAGATGGGATTTGAATCCACACACATTTTCAAGCTTCGTCTCATCACACATCTGGTGGGAGCACACCCTGTCCCCTCCATTGCAGAGTACTGAAAATGGGTCATGGTGCAGAAGGAAGCCCAAGGGATGAGGGGGAGAAGACAACAAAAGCAGCAGACTACAGCACAACAATCAGCTGGGAGAAGTCTCTGCTGTTTGGACATGGACGCATTTCTCATTACACTGTCATCAGATGTGAAAAACGATACCGGGAGCCTGGTTGTCTTACTTGCTTGGAGAATGCCCTAACCATTCAGACATGGTATGAAAATGGGTGCCACTATCTTCCCTTTCCCTAGCTGTGTTTAATAAAGATCAGTACCATCATCTGTGCTTTGCACTGACTCCAGTGCTATTCTGTACTTCAAGAGTCTTCCCCCACAACAATTTCAGCAGATTCAAGGCTATGCCACCGGTCTGGACCCCAGAACTCCCTTTTCTGGTGTGTTTATATGTACACCGGGGAGTTCAAGTTTAGATGCCCAGGAAATGCTGTGGTCCAAAACATAGCCCCAGAACAAACATTATGCATTTCCAAGTTAAAATATTCACTAGAAAATGAGCTTTCAGAATTGCTCCTTGGTCTGAAGTACTTAAATTCTGCTAAAGGCCCACTTTATACATCAAAGTTGCTTCTTTAGATGTGTCCAACTAGATGATTTTTTATACATATAGTGTTAATAAGTAGCCAGCACTTAAGGCCATCTAATTAACACACAAGCAAATACATCAACCAGTATTAAGCACATGAAGCATCTGGTTAGATACTAACCGCACCCCAACCCTCAGACTAAAAACACTGAAACAAAAAGGCAAACTTGACTCTGAACTCCATCCTCCAATTAAAACTTTGGCCTGAGGCCACTGGGTTTCCATGTATATTGTAACACTGTAAAAAAAGCCAGATAAACTTGCTCTGAGCAAGATAAGATTAGGACGTCCCCACTCAGCAGAAAAGGAGGCCTTAGGACGCCTTCCCTAACCAGGGATAGCCTTCTCGCAGCTCCAACACTGCAGCAAATAAAGTTACTCTTCTGGCACCCAAATAAGCCTGCCACAAGAAGAACTTAGTTTTAAAAATAACTAATGAACAGTAATTAATCTTTGTATTAACTTCCATTATCTCACCACAAATATTCCAGTAACTAATTTTTATCTGCCTAACCTAACAACCTTCATCTAACCTTAAGCTAAATTTGTTCTTGACTAGCTTGAATGCACGTGACAGCAGAACCACCTGGCAGATCCATCGGCTGTTTTCACCCCTGATGCACTTAGTTAGAAACAGCACTCGCATTTCTCCCCATCCTCCTTCTCTACAGACTATGTGTTTACTGGGCTACTCTCCTCTTGCTTCTCCCACCTGGCTTGCCTGATGACATAAAGCAATTAATAATAGCTTCACAATACTAAAATCTG